TACTAGCCCAATGCTCTTCCAACTGAACTACGCGGTCAGGACGGTTCGAGTAAGCGATATTTCGGAACTGAGTCTAGTTCCTTCGATATCAGTGTAATCTAATATTTATGAAATCTGCTGTGTTGGTGTAATGTACTCAGGTGAATAAGATAAATAAATTGTATGTGATACCAAAGAAAACTTAATAGGCTTGAAGACCCACTTAAATTCGGTAGACAACAAACCAATACCTGATTGCAAGTACAGCCAGTTGAGGAGGACGATTAATTCACATCATGCTCGACATACCATGGCAAGTCAAATTGTATGGTGAGCGTTATCGTGCTTCTGTGTAAGCAAGGCATTTCGTTAAATTCCCAAGGCTGGGCTTGGCTGCCACACGTTTGATTTGGATGACCAAAAAATTTCAGCGCCGTCCTTCCTTTTCGGTGGCAAATCCGCAAATGCTCAAAAGATATTGATTCTGTGCTACTTTTATACTGTCTGACAATCACATGATATATATATGGATGACTAACTGATCATCTCATGCATAAATATTCAAAGCATATGGTATTGTGAGAGAAAACTCCCAGTGAGAATAATATTTCAATAACTCCAATAACTTTTGAGCCAGTCAAAGGGAAACCCATACGTGGTGTAGCCATACAGGGCTTTATTTTGGGAGGAGGGGGGGGGGAGCGAACATTGAAAGTGTGAGACTAGCTAGGGGGTGGGGTCATGTTCCCTCGAAAAAATTGAAATCTAATTCAAGGACTGACATCTTCTTAAACCATATTAATTATCAATATTCATATATGTAGTAAAAGTTAAGTAATTAGGGACCAGTCATAAAGTATAAGGGGGAGTCGGCTGGAGGAAAGGGGGGGGGGGCACCATTTTCATGCTTGCAAAAATGGGTGGGCCAGAGAAAATTGTGCACTACATTAGAAAAAAAACTGTAAAAATTAGCATAAAAGCCCTAAAAATTTATAAAGAAAAATCATTATTATTATAAACTTTATGTTGACATGGTAGAATTATCAGTAAAAATTTACATAATATATAGATGTATATAAACTATAGAAAAAGGAGGAAAAGGAAAAAAAATACAACTATTATTTACAAAAAACAGAACAGTACTGATTTACATGATTGCCGTGTGTGAGTCTAAGCTAACTAACATTCTAGACCTTGTTAAAGGCACTAAGAGATTGTGCCAAACGAAGTAGCTGAGTGAGTGCTTTAGATAATCTGTATGTGGCTTAGGAACAAATATTGTATTTTCATTGTTTCTCAATCTGTAAGGATAAGATCGCGAAGTAAATATGTCTTGTAGATATTCTGGTACCCTCTTGTTTATAGTTTTATACATAAGAATTGCTTTAAGCTTTTTGCGATTAATAGGATAACTGGTGCCAGTTTAACTCCTCCAGTAAAGAATTCGAGGAGTTTTCATATGTGCTTTCGGTGATCATATGAGCAGCACGGTTTTGTAACTTTTGTAACTTACTGCTCAGCTCGCTGCCGATACTGTCCCAAACCGGGCAAGCAGTAATTAAGGCGAGGCTCAATTGAGCCTCTGTACGCTTTCATGGCAGTTTCCCTGTTTACAAATTGCCTCACTCGTTTACGGGCACCCAATTCCTAAGGATACTTTTTTACAGATAGTATCAATATGGTACTTCCAAGTTAAATTTTCATCAATTGTTACACCTAAGGATTTCGTGTACTGTACTCTTTTAATTTGAGTGTTATCTACGCATATATTAAGATTGTTAATATCATGGTACATCAGCCTCTGTCGAGAGCCAATGACCCATAAATTCAGTTTTAGTAATGTTTAAGCTTAATCTGTTCGCATTGAGCCAGGTGTTTAAACTACTCAGCTCGGTGTTCATAATTTCTTCAAGATCAGTAAGATTAGAGCTTAGGAAGCTAATATTTGTGTCATCTGCGTACATACTCGATAAGCCATTGTTCGGACAGTTTGGAAACTTACTTATATAGACCAAGAATAAAGGGACCTATTATTGAACCTTGGGGGACACCGTAAGTGATTGGTCGGTTGCTAGATAGATGTCCATTTACACAACATCTTTGTGTATGATCGGTTAGATAAGAGTGGAACCATGTTAATGTGTTTCCATCAACCCCGTATTGAGCAAGTTTGTCCGGAAGAATTGTGTGATCAATAGTATCGAAAGCTTTTTTTAAGTCGATTAAAACTACACCATTGAGTAGTCCATTGTCGGTATTTATTGACCACCTATTTGTTGTTTCGAGCAGTGCAGTGACCGAACTGTGCATTATTCGAAACCCAGACTGACATTTTGTCAGTAATTTATTGCACGTTAAATAGTAATCAAATTGGTTGTGAATAATACTTTCAAATAATTTTGCAACAACTGAAATAATTGAGATTGGACAATAATTGTTGAGGTCATGTTTAGCACCATCTTTATGGATCGGTGTAACATTGGCAATTTTCCATTCTTTTGGGTATATACTAGTGCAAAGTGATTTGTTAAATATATTAAGGACGTTTATCTCCCTAAAGTGTTTAAAATCTCTCCTTTTAATGGTCCTTCCTGCTGTCTTTGGGTATCCAGATTTGCGAATCATATAGACAAGTGAATGGTCACTTATACACAGCGAGAGGACACCTGAAGAGGCCACTTTCTCTGGGTAATTAGTAATGCATAGGTCAATTACGGTTTGTGAAACTGGTGTTATTCTAGTTGGTTCAGAGATTAATTGTGTGAAAACATAAGTGTCTAGGATATTTAACAAATCAGAAGTGTTTGCATCAGAGATTTGTGCAGTTAAATTACAATTTAGGTCTCCAAGAAAGTATAATTCAGAGTTTTCAGCATCAATTCGATCGATTGTGTTTTCAAATAGATTTAATTATTCTCTAGATGAATTGGGTGGTCTATACCAAGTACTTACCAAAAACGGCCTAGATCAAGGCTTGGATATCTCAATAATTAGACACTCTAGCTTGTCGTTCACGAAATCATTGCAAACTTAAAAATTTAAATTACTACATACATAAATACATACCCTACCACCATGTCTACCATTGATATAGCGATCTTTTCGAATGATCTCGTATCCTGGTAAATTTAATTCATTGCTGTGGACAGAGGCATCTAGTTTGGTTTCATTAATGGCTAATATATCAATATCTGTATCATGTGTAAAAATTCTCACTTCATCAATGCGAGCAGTTAGACTATTAATGTTCAGTGATGCCATCACAAGGCCCCGCTTGAATAACTTAGAGTAAGGCGATTTGTCAAAGGCTGCAGGATGGGTAGGTGAAATGGAAGCAGACTCACAAATGGTAATATCCTAATCAGTACTAATATACTTAAATATATTTCTGGCTAATATGCTGGTTCTTTTTTTATTTAAATGTAGTCCTCGAGAGTTCAGGCAAATTTAGTTGAGTTGAAAGACTCATGATCTAGGAATGCCCAGTTCTTTTCAATACAAAATGATTTTATTAATCTGTTTGCCTGATTCACTTTGGACATCAAATTTGGTTTGCTGGTTCTTGGCGAGTCTTGAGTAATTTGTATGCCTAGATTTAATACTCCCTCTGCTACCATTTGGGCAGTTTGATAGTTTATATCGTTTGTACCTATATGTAAAATTATTTTGTTCGGTTCCTTTTGGAGTACTGGTCTTAAATAGTCTTCCATATCAGAAGTTGTAGCTCCTGAGAAACTCTCGACTACCACATGGTTACTCATGTTCGAGAGACTCAATCCTTCTACATGCTTCAATATAGAATCTCCAGCAACTACCATCACTTTTTGCTTGGAGATTGGCTGCTTTTAGGTGAACTAGTTGTATTTTTATTTACATTACTCACCTCGTTTATCAGTTGAGAGGTTTGGGTGGTTTTAGAAAGTGAATCAGTTATACACTGTTGTTCGTCTTTGCTTCTCAGACGTCTTAGATTTCTTATTCGATTTTTTTACCTGTATTTTCGCTTCAGGGTATCTTGGTTGCTGATATTTACGTTATCAGTTGGTAGGGCATTTACAGAGCCTGGTTCAATAATATCATGACTGATTACCTCCACATTAATTTCCGCACCTGTGTTACTTAGCAAGTTAATATCTGATATATTATTTAGCAACCTAATGGCTGTAATTAAGCTAGCCTTCTCCTCTTCTGTAGATTTGACCTTTCCTTGTAGGTCAGCTAATATATAACTCAGATTGTGTTTAACCCTTCATGTAAAGATTTCTCATTTTTCAAATCATTGTTTGTGTCTTTTAAATCCTTATTTTCCTTTTTAAGTGCAGAAAATTCACTTTCTTTGTCAGCAATTCTGAGTTCCTTAAGTTGGTTAGAGTGATCTGATAACGTCGATTATCTGATGTATGTCATGCTCGATACAAATTGGATCGGATAAGGCTGGCAGTTTAGCTTGTAACTGGCAGTTCAGGTTTTTAAGATAGGTCTCTTGGGAATCATCTAGGTCCCATCCGGTCGAAAAGTAGCAATTTCGAGTGGTGTTGTTTCAAACGCTTATCTCTCTCAAACTATACATCGCACGGAAACAGAAATTGCATCGTTCGAAAGAGGAGGACTTCTGCTTTCCAACGATACCAATTTCAATTTCATCCGGAGCTTGGTTAACGATTTACTCGCATAGATTTGCATAAATTATGATATAAAAAA